GCGAAACTGTCGCTTTGATATGGCCTTCGTCTGTTGCTTATTTGCACTTGTCTGATTTAGGCAGCCTGGATGATGTCGCCGATTGCACCTTTCAACGCGTGGCGATGTGCATCAGCGGATCGAGAAAAAATCTATTCAGTTTCGCCTCCAGGGGCAAAGACCTAGTACCGAAGTTACACAAAAACCCCGGAAAGACTGACCACCAGCTTACAGGTGGCGGAAAATGGAACGGCCTTCAGTGAATGTTAGATTCTAATTAATCACACCATCGGGTCTGCCGAACAAGCAACCGCAGACCAGCAAGGACGTGTAGGGTTGAGGTCTGGTACACCAACTATACTTTGCAAGTGCCATAAAACCTGATGGCGGCACTGTAACATAGCGAATGTGAACCGTCATTAAATAACTTTGCTTGCCACCGCTGACTTGTGGATAAGCTCTTGAATCCAGACGTTAGGAAAGACAACCTCGAACAACCAATCTGGACGGCTGTTTAGAACATGTCTGTAGATTTCCAAGCACACTCATATACATGGGAATCGGACGCTGCGCCCCTCCTTCCGAGTAAAAGCTTTTCGTTCGGGACTAGGTCGTGTGTGACACGTGTAGATGGGTTGTTCAGCTTTGTCATCCACTGAGTCCACACCCTCTTCTCATGAGCGTGAGGACAGGGAGCGTGGTAGATGCAGCGAAAATTTGCATCTACAAACGAATTCACACGCTGCGGAAGGAGATTGGAGTATCTTTTGAGAAGTCCTTAGCTGTCGGTAATAGATGCCTCCAGTCTAGGCAGGCTAAGCACCGTGTACCTAATTAATCCTACTGTTACGAAATAAGTAGGTATTGCTAATTGTTCGCCGCTGTTTATCAAATCATCGTGTTTTTTTGTGGGAATCGTCATAATTCTTAGTTGGTTACGCTCTGTGTTAGAGTTGCATTGGCTGAAGAAACATCAAACTAATACGTTGTCGGCCCTCTGAGCGTGAGTACCGCAATTTTATTCAGTTGATATTTGTCAGTGTAGGCCACTTCTTTTAGTCTATCGCAGAGGTCCGAATGCTGCCCACCTCGCAAATAGCTACTGAGACCTGCTAAGTTCTCGTTAGGCTTTTCTTATCCCCTGTGAACATTCTTCATCGTTGTAGACAGTCAAAAGTTCTGATGTATCATGATAAGTCGAGTGGCCCTTTGAAGAACATATTCGCAGCACCCTAGTATCAGCGTCTCCGATGGACAACCCTCCATAGCTGTCTATCTCACAGTGACTGGACTACCCCGTAGGGATGAGAAAACAGTCACTTAACTGCCTTCTGGGTTACTCAGTTTACCCTATC